AAGTCTATTTCCCTTTCGGGAGGAACTCCGGGAAGATCTTCTGGGAACACTTCTGGAAACTCACTGACTACAGGAACTGACTCAAGAGTTGGGGATTCGGAACTAGAATCCTTAACCCGAACTAGATGATAGAGATAACCCTTAGAGATCATCTTTCTGGCCTTAAGGTAAGAAATGAATCGACCCATAGGCGCTAAGCTACTACCCTTCCATTCTAAGATTGGTTCGTTTGGAAACTGAAAACGAACAATCCTAGTTCTACAATAAACTGAGGCATAACATGAATGTAACCAATCCATACCTAGAATGACATCGAAGTCTACCATTTCTAACTCTACAAGATTTGCTGAGGTGACTTTCTGAGAGACTGTGACAGGGCAATTTCTGTATACCCGTCTAGCTATAACTGGGTCACCAACTGGAGTAGAGACTGAGAGGGGTTCTGAAAGAGTTTCTGGACTAACACTGAATTGGACTGCTATGTATGAAGTTACAAAAGAAAGAGTAGCCCCTGGATCTAATAAAGCATAAACATCAAGATCAAAGACTCGTAACGTACCAGTGACTACATCAGGAGAACCTTCCTGATCTTGACGAGCCTGAAGAGCATAAAACCTGTTTTGGCGCTGTCCGCCACCAGTACCAGAGGAGTTACCCTGCTGAGTCGGGTGACCTGCTGGTGCTGCTGAAGTTGTAGACTGAGCTCTACCATTATTTCCTCCTTGACCCTGTCTTGAAGGGCAATCCTTCAATCTATGACCAGACTGGCCACACCCAAAGCATCCTTCCTTACCTGCAAGGCACTCGCCCGGATGGTTCTTACTACATTTCGGGCAAGTTAGGTAAGTTTTGGTGCCTGAAACACTACCTTGAGACTTAGAGCCTGACGCCCTACCTTTCTGATCATTACAGAACCTGGGGGATGGAACACTAGCTGATGAAGGGGCTGGAGTCGAAGACTTCTGCTGAAAATGCGAGCGATTTCCACCACCCGATTTCTGTTGGGAATATTCGTAGTTACCTGTTCTTGCTTTCTTAGTCTCCTTAGCCTGTTCCCTAAGCTTATCACCCTCAACCTGCTGAGCATGAGTCATGAGCCTAGAGATATTCATGTCTCCCAACAACATAGCATTCCTGCACTCTGTTTTCACTAAGTTTGACACTCCATAGAGAAACTTATTCATCTGAGCCCTGGAATCAGCAACCATGTGAGGAGCATACCTGGAGAGTTGGTTAAACTTGAGCCCATACTCTTGGACAGTCATGTTACCCTGCCTTAAGTTCATAAATTCCTGGGCCCTTGCTTCTCTCAACTCTATGGGGAAAAACCTGTCTAGAAAGGTTTCTCTGAAACAATCCCAAGTAATAGGAGCGACATCTGTACCCATGTTCTCCTTCCACTGAGTATACCAGATATGAGCTACATCCTTAAGTTGGTAAGATGCTAACTCAACCCGATCATTCCCAATGACCTGCATCACCTCAAAGATCTTCTTGATCTCATCCAAGAAATTCTGGGGATCTTCACTAGTCTACTATCCTAAGAACTCTGGAGGATTCATCCTAACAAAGTCACGGACCCTTGCTGCTGATGATCCACCATTTGCATTCACATGAGCTTGAACCCGCTGATTGTTCTGGTTAGCGACACTCTGAGCCAACATCTGAATGGCATTCCTGAATTCAGCATTCGACACTTCTTGATCTGGAACTGGAGGAGCTGCGTTTGCGTTCCTGGCATTCGCATTCCTGACATAAGCTCTACGAGGAGGCATGATCACTGAAACGTAGAACGTCGAGTTAGAATGGAATTAGATCATACCTTACGCACGATAAGAGTAACAAGAAGATGAAGATTTCCTAAAACACTTTGTAGCCTCCCTCTCATTAGATGTGGTGCGCACTACACACCCATGAAAAGGACTCTACCTAGTGCGGCTTTTCAGACATCCTAGGACACTTAAACCTAATGCTCTGATACCAAGTTTGTCACGCCCCGAGCTACCCCCGAGACGCGGACACGGGACCTAGGACCACAAGTGATCCCAAGCTAACCCTGCTGGCATGATCATGAGCATACTAAAGATAATAAACTGATGCGGAAGCTAATTCATAAATAAATCTGAAAAGATGGGGAATACCCATATACTATAGCTGAATATATCAAATCTGAGAGTTTAATACAAAAGAGATATCAAACTCAAAACACTAAGCTGAATCTAACTATGTCTGAAATAAGCCTCTAAACTGACTAGAAATGTTGGGACATGCCCCAACTAGATCTAGCAAAACTGAAACTAAAAGACTAAAACACTGAAAAGAAACTCATGACTATTGTCCCCGAAGAATGAGGACTCACCAACTGATTCTGCTGAACTGAAGATCGGGAATCGATCTAAGCGTGATCTGGATGCTGAGAACCTGAACCTACATCACGAGAAGATGTAGCGCACGTATGCGTCAGTACTTGAAAGGTACTGAGCATGCAGGATGGAGTAAAGCTGAAAGAACATATAACTGAACAAAGCAATAAAGCAATGAAATAATCTGAACATGATATAGATACTGAAATACTGAATACTGAGCTAACTGAATGCAATGACCAAATTTATAACATGCTGAGACTGAATACTGACTGTACTGAAATATGGTCAATGCAATAGAGTCTGACTGAACTGTGGGAGCTACTAATAACCGACATAAAACCACATGAGCTAAATGTGGAGTCCGATGTATACGCCCCATCGAGAGGACCCAATATACCCTGCCAGAGGTATAGAGGCATGCTGGCGTGATCACTAAACTGATGTTGCCCACAGAGGGGACTTACACCTACGTGGCTCGTAGTTCTGGGACTATATGGGTACGCTGAAACCCTAGTCCAACTCGGTATTATGCTACTCCCAATAGATTAAGTGGTTAACACATTATGACTGAGTTTCTGTAAATACTGGATAGCTCGAAACTGAACATGCAAACTGAGAATGCAACAATTAATCTGATAATGATGCATTCATAAACTGAGACATGTAAAACTGAATACTGAAATATCTGACCTAGCATGTGTAATTCAAGAACTAAAGAAATACATAGCTAGGGTTCTGAAATTCATGCGATAAACTGAGCAATAACATGATAATCTGATTTGGAACATTTAAATAACTAATTCATGATGATCTGCTATAATTCTAGAAACCCTAGGTCTGTTCATAATCGTGGAATCAAGAATCTGACTGAATTCTAGGGACCTAATGGGCGAAAGGAACCCACTAGTGAAATCCCACATACCTGGTGACGAATTCCACGGAGAAATCTTTCGATTTCGGGGCTGGAACTGAAGAAACCTCGCTGCGTTCTTGAACTAGGGTTCTTGACCTTTTTCTCCTCTCTTGCTTCTAATTCTTCTAAGTTTGATTAATGATTTGACTTAGGTAAGTTCTAGTTATGTTTCTAGGCTTAAACTAATTAAAACCTCATGATTTAGGGTCTAAACGACGTATCTTAGGGGTTAAACGAAATAGGAAAAGACCAAAAGACCCCTGAATTAACTGCTGTCGGAGTGACCGACGGTTTGGACCTACGGGCCGTAGGTCAATCTACGGTCCGTAGATTGGGTCCGTAGTTCGAGTCTGCCCGACAGGTCTTCACTAAAACGGGCATAACTTTTTACTCGGAGGTCGGAATTTAGAAAACTCGGTGGCGTTGGAAAGGTAATTCAATTATCTATCTAACCATAGGTCATGGAACACATAATTCATTTTGTGATAAAAGTTATGACCATCTGAAGTTGACCCATCAGAATTTTCAGCTAACTGGCTGCTATCCTTCGATCTACGGTTAGACCTACGGACCGTGGATCGAACGACGGTCCGTGCTGGTCAACCGTAGTTCATGTCAGAGGCTGGGTAAGGAGGTCTTGATCCACGGACACAGACCACGGACCGTGGTCTGATCTACGGACCGTGGGTCTGTCCGTGAGTCGAGACTTAACCAATTTTCTGAGCTTGCTGGGGAGGGGTTGCAGTGGCGAACCACGGACCACCAGCACTGGCCGTGGTCTGACCTACGGTCCGTGGATGGTGATCGTAAGTTGCACCTGCAACTTCTCAAAATCTGCATTTTTTTGTCTATTTTGAATACGGGGTGTTACACAATTACCACGAAATTCTTTCACTGTTGCAGAAGTTACTATCACTATATATGGGCCAGCATCATTGTTATACAAATAAGGAGAAAACTTCTCCCCAAGTTCTTCCCATAAGGTAATTTTTGCTTTAGCCGAACTATGCAGACAAAACATAAATCAGTAATCAAATAATTCTATTGTTAAGAGATAACAAAGTAAAGTAACTTAAAATGAGATGAGTCACTTACTAATCTGTAAGAATGTGGATATCCCTCTTCTTCCATTTTGAACCAACACTCTCGATATCACCAATTCCATATAAACAACCAACCACATCTACGAATATTGAAGAAGAAGATTCAGATGTAAGTGTTGTTTTCCAATAGTTTAGGCAATTATTTTCCATTTACACATAAATAAACTACCAACCAACCACATCTATGATTATTGAAGATGAAGAATCGTATGTAAGACTCGTATTCAAAGAGTTTAGGGTATTATTAAACAATTACACATCACTGTGAGGTTAGAGTATCAATCTATAATGTGATAGGCACCGGTTAAATTTCAATAGCTAGTTTAGCCCTATTCTTTCTTTTCATTCCGTTTTATATTGATAGTGTTTCTCTGGAATATAATGTTTTTGAATGATGAAGTTCATCCTTTTTCAAAATTATCAATTTTATTAAGTATGTGATAGGAAATTACTGATATATCAAGAATAGATAATATACATTAGAAGGGAGTTGGCATATATGACATAAAGAGCAAACATATATGAAGGTCGTGAATGTCATCAAACAGAATATCATGAGTTTATCTTAGTAACAAATTTTGCAGCTACGTATAACTAAAAATGTCACTGGTAAGAATTTTAGTATAAATATAGACCTGATAAGACAGTGCTATTGTTCACCCTTGAGTCAATCACATCTGGATTAATAAATTCAAAACCGTTTATTGGAATTTCTACAATATCTTCAGACAAATTCTTGATTGCAGTTGAGGCAAAGAAAATGATTTTCAAAGAGTTTTGAACAGGTCTATATCCTCCAATGCTTTCAACAACTTTGAAGTTCTTGATGATAAATACAGAACCTTCACTCAACATGTCTTTGAACCTGTTAACCTGAGTTTTCCTAATTATACCATGCATCAAATTACCCTGATAGAAGAATAAATTAGTAAGTAATTTGAGAATTCAAACATCCAAAAATAATATGTAATTGGGAGAATGAATCAATGGAATACATACCTTTTCATCAATAAATATCATATCCTTACTGATCAGCTCACCATTTTTCTTGGGATTAATGGCATCCCACATTCTACAAAGTCTTACTCTTATTGTAAAATCATCTCGACCAGTAACCAAGTCTGAAATAAAAGAAATCGTCATTGTAAAAACTCAATTAGAAGGAATAGAGACAATGTAAATTTGAATATGGGAATGATTCACTAACCATCTATATATACTACAAGAATAAGGGTTATGAAAGTGTAGAATAAATCAGCAGAGTAATTAGCAAAGCAATTATCACAAGATTAATACACAATTAAAGACATTACAGTTACAAATAAGGAAGATGAAGCAATGAATTTTATGAAAACGTGCCTCATAAGTTCTTGGGAGGAAGAAGCTCGATAGTAGATATAAAAAGAACGATTCTTGCGAGGGAGAAGCTGAACGTCTGGATGTTAAAAAAAACGGCTGACCTGGGTCATTATAGTGTTGTATATTCAATTGGATCATTAAATTTGTGTACATGGGCTGGGCTTTACTGTAATTTAATATTATCTGTATTTAATAGGTGATATGTGGGCTGGAGCTAATCAATTATATTGTGGGATAATTTTTATGTGATTTAATTATTTACCTATTATATGGTGGAAAAATTAGGAATCAATCCAGCTTCAGAACCATTCCATAGTAACATAAGTCATATGAGGTTAGAAAGTAGTACACATTAATGAGTTTATTAATTTAATGCATTACCAAAAATAAACATAGAATACCATAAATATAATCTGAATTTGACTTAAAATTGAATAAAAATGAACAAAATTATCGGGTCAATTGGAATCGGGGAGATCCTTAACTGTCTTTTGATTATATGAGATGAAATTCAATTGGATTGTTAAGTTATTTCTTGTGTCTCATATTAGTTGATCGTTTTATTAAATATAGTTGTCACATATTAGTCGTCTATTACCTTACGATATTACCCTTGTAATTTATTTATTTTTTGAAAGCGTTCACATTTCACACAAATTTGGGACAACATGGGGCAAATCAGAGAACTCACAAGCCTCGTGTCATTTATCAATTTTGTAAAAAGCCTGGGCATGTTGCAAATAAATGTTACAGAGTGAAACGACCCCAAAAATGCCCGAAAATGTGCTTCGGAAACACCTAAAATTGTAATTTCCATATATCTCAAAATCCGTGCATCATTTCGGAAATTCGACTTCATATTCTTATTCAGGGGGTCAAATTGAGTGGGAAATGAGTCTAACCCGAATTTTAGAACAACCGTATCAAAATTCGAAAATCGCAAAAAAATGCGATTTTGAGGGTCAACTTTAAAGGGGCATATCTCTCAGCACACAAGGAACTGGAAGGAGCTCAAACTATCAAAATTAAAGCTTTGTGAGTTAGCTTTCCAACGCAATTTGTTTCGCCTCATTCCGAGTTAGGATGAAGGAGTTATAACCATTTTCGTAAAACCTCGCCGGCAGAAAAGTGCCATTTCCAGTAAGCCGAAACACTGTTCACCCGCCCCATTAATTTTTCTAAGTGTTGGACAATTTTTTTTCCAAAAGGGCATATGATATTCCCTATATATCATTAGTTCATTCCAAGTCTCTAAAACATTTCTCAAACATCCAAAAACTCTCTCTAAACCCTCTCCAAAATTCCACCAAGATCTTCAACCAAATTCAAACATCTCAAACTCTAATTCCGGATTCAAGACTCAATCTCAATCATCAATTCTCCATTCCAATCTTCATCAAGGATTCTCCAAAGTTGAGGTATGTGGGTTTGATTGTGGAAACCTTCCTTTCCACAAGTCCAACCATTTATCCTCTATTTTACTCCAAGTTTATGGGTCCTTATGATCATTTATGAACTCTTGAATTATGGAATTATTACTACACATCCTATTATGGTCTATTTTTGTATATTATCATGAAAAGGAATGATTATATGATGTTTATGGTTTTCATGCCTCCATGATCAAATTATGAAGGTTGTTATATATGTATATATATATGTATGTTGTTGGTGGGCTGTTTTATATAGATTTTGAAATTGGTTGGACTTAGTACTCTTAAAATACATGATTTTATTTACATGAACAAGTAGCCCACCATATGTTTGATAAAATGCCATTTATAGAATTCTTATGAAATGGAAGGTCCAATGTACGTCCTATGAGTCGGATGATTATATAAGTATTGAAATGATGATGAAATGGATACATGTATATGATTTTCTCTATATAGTGTGTGAGTCGATCAAGCCTAGCTCGGGGGGTTGTAGGCCCGGGTAACCGTATCAAGGGGTTGGTACCTTGGTTGCCTAGTACGGGGGGTAGTAGGCCCGTATAACCGTATCGAGGGGTTTGTACCTTGGTTGCCTAGTACGGGGGGTAGTAGGCCCGTATAACCATATCGAGGGGTTTGTACCTTGGTCCCTAGCTCGGGGGGTGGTAGGCCCGGGTAACCACATTGAGGGGTTTGTACCTCTTTCGCCTCTCCAAGGGGGTGGTAGGCCTTGGAAATACTATATTGATGGTCACTCACTACACATATACTATGCCCTACTAAATATGGTTTTTATATAAGCATCATTATACATATCATCTCATTAATATGCTATCTATCGGGTACGATTATGCATTTTGCCTATGATGTCCATCCCTTGTTGCATTGCATTGCATCCCATATACTTAGTACATTCAACGTACTAACGCATACTCTATGCCTACATGATGTCACCATGTAGGGACCGGAGCACCGCTTGACCCTCGTCCTCCGCGTGGCTAATACGATTTTCTATCAAGGTTATTGGTGAGTCCTCCATTCCGGGGACGTTGCTTATGATCTTTTGCTATGTATAAGACTTTTCCTTTTAGTTATGTTTTGACTATGAGGGTGAGCCCAGTTGTTTGTCTTGGCCCCCGCTAAAGTACCTATGTTTAGAGGTGGTGTTGGACAAGTTGTGTATTATGCTTGAGCTTGACTCAGCTATGGTATTTAAGTATCATTTCTTCTTCTTCTTTTTTTCTTGCTCCCTTAGTCCCGATTTTCCCCTTTGATTATGCTTATGGCTTATGGTCATTTTAATTGCTTCCGCGACCAAGGATGTGTAATGATACGCTATGAGGCTTGTTTGGGGTTCCTTCGGGTTCCCCATTCGCCGGTCACGTCTAGGCCCTAGGCTTGGGTCGTGACAAACTTGGTATCAGAGCACTAGGTTGATAGATCCTCGGAGTCCAACACACCGCGTTGATTAGAGTCCGATTCATGGTTGTGTTGTGCACCACAACTATGAGTAGGAGGCTATGAGACGTTTTAGGAAATGTTTCCCTTCTCCTTGTTCTAAGTCGTGCTATAGAGTTGAATTAAGTTCTTCCCTAACGGTTGCTCTTTGCTATGCTAGATCATGCCTAATACAAGAGGAAGACGAGCCCGCGCACCCGAGGAACAACCGACCAATGGGGATCTTCGGGATGCCCTTACTTTATTTGCACAAGCTATGGCTAATCAAGCCAACCACGGGGCCCAAACCCCTCAGGCTCCTACCCCGGCATCTCGGGTGAGAGACTTCGTGCGGATGAATCCCCCGGAATTCTATGGGTCTAAGTTAAATGAAGACCCTCAAGAGTTTATTGATGAAGTCCTCAAGATATTAGCTATCATGGGTGTGAAGTCAGAAGATAAGGCGGAGTTGGCGGCCTACCAACTAAAAGGGGTGGCCCAAATATGGTACAACCAATGGAAGGAAGAGAAGGGGGTAAACTATGTGGTGCATTGGGAAGAGTTCAAAACGGCTTTCCTTAATCGATTCTTTCCTCTTGAGCTTAGGGAAGCCAAATTGGTGGAGTTCATGAATTTAAAACAAGGGTCTATGAGTGTGAGGGAGTATGCTCTCAAGTTTAACCAACTTTCAAGGTATGCTCCACATTTGGTTGCCGACTCACGGTCTAGGATGAACAAATTCGTGATGGGTGTGTCCGACCTAGTGAGTGAAGAATGCCGGTCCGCAATGTTGATTAGTGACATGGACTTGTCCCGCTTGATGGTCTATGCCGAACAAATGGAGGAGGAGAAGTTGAGGAAGAAGAGGGGTCATGAGGCCAAGAGGGCCCGTTTTGAGGGCAAGTTCCAAAGTAGAACGGGAGGCCGGTTTCATCAAGGTCAAGGGTCTTCTCATGCGCTCCATAAGGGGTTTGCCAATGATGTTCCAAGGGCCCAAGGTGTTAGGGGTATGGGTCCTATTGATGTATGTCCGAAGTGTGGTAAGGGCCATGGTGGCCCGTGCTTGAGAAATACCGGTGCTTGCTATAGTTGTGGGGAAATGGGGCACAAGGCAATGGATTGTCCTCGAAATCGCAACAAGGGTAAGGAGGTCCGTCCACAAGGTGCCAATGCGGTTCCTTTGGGGAGAGGGGGCCGACAAGATGGTGCCCCAAGGCACAATCGATTTTATGCTTTGCATGGGAGGCAAGGGGTCGATGAAGTCCCCGACGTCGTTACCGGTATGTTGAAAATCTTTGACTTTGATGTATATGCATTAATTGATCCGGGTGCCTCTCTTTCTTTTGTCACCCCCTTTGTTGCCAACAAGTTTCATGTTGAGCCCGACTTGTTGCATGAGTCATATAAGGTGTCTACTCCTATTGGTGCATATATGGTTGCTAGGAAGGTCTATAGAAATTGTCCTATTTGCATCTTGCATAAAATATTGCCTTGTGATCTTGTTGAGTTGAACATGGTCGATTTTGATGTTGTTCTTGGGATGGATTGGTTGCATGCATACTATGCTTCCATTGATTGTAGAACCCGTAGGGTCAAGTTCCAATTCCCAAGTGAACCCATTCTTGAGTGGGAGAGCCAAAATGTGGTAGTCAAGGGTAGGTTCATCTCTTGCATTAAAGCCCGTAAGTTGATCTCTAAGGGGTGTCTCTATCATCTTGTGAGGGTTAGGGATGTGGAGTCCAAAACCCTTCCTATAGAGTCGGTTCCGATCGTAAATGAATTCCTTGATGTCTTTCCTAATGACCTTCCCGGTGTTCCTCCCGAAAGGGAAATAGATTTTGGCATAGACCTCCTCCCCGATACTCAACCCATTTCTATCCCCCTTATCGTATGGCCCCGGCGGAGTTAAAGGAG